CTCGTTTAATGTCAAAATCTGCATCTAGCTCTTTTCTTCCGCGAACCTCAAAAGATTGGAATGAACTACCTTCTGTTTTAGCCTCTCAAACTTCTTTAGCCACATTCAAAAATATGCTGCGAGGTTATTCAGGCTTTTAATAATATTATTTTGTTTACTTATTTATATTTTTAAATTTTTAGTTTTAGGTTATCACAGGGTATCCACGAATGCCACAAGATTTTGTTTCTTTTTTTTTGTGATATCCTGCTCTTTAGTAAAATAAATCTTATCTTATGTATCTTACCTAAAATTGATTGAATTGACTCCTGTTTCATTATTATACACTCATTCAGAAACATTTTTCTTTTTAATATCAGAGCAAGTTCTGTAGCAAGTATCAATGTCAATGATCCATTGATTTCGTCATTTAACAACTTATTATCCAATAGTTTTTCTCATTTGGACGCTATTGAACAATTACTTCGTTTATCATCAGAAACGTTTGCAAAATTACCAACATCAAGTGAAAAGGTACTTATTTTCACTTTATATAGACAAAAAAGTATCTTATTTATTAATTATTTATTCTTTATAGTCGTCTAAATTCAATTCATCGTATTTAAATACTTGTCAACGTGATTTACAATATTTTGGTATTATTCTTATTGAACTTATTTTACTTAGTAAACATCATTTTATTCCAATTAATATAAATGCTACCGAACGTTTAACCATTGTTCAAAAACTATTAATTGATCAATGGCATCTTATACCAACGTACGTATTAATGATTAATGAGATATTCGGACTGCCGTGGCATAAGCAGAAGGTGGTAATTTTAGCATATGTTTATGAATTATTTAGCACTATATTTTCTTTTTCATCCTATGTTGTTCGATCTCTTTCATACTTCTAGACCGTTTCGTGCTTGTTTACAACTTCTATTTAACATTAGTGAAAATGATGATCGATTATTCACAAATGCTCCATACTATATCACTGCTGGATATCTTTTAAATTATTGGACAACGTAAGTCTAATATATTTTATCATCGTTACTATGAAAAATAACTATGAGAAGAAGAAAAAAACTACTCGATACTGAAATTTTTTTATAAAAACATAAGTTATTTTTATACTAATTTAGACCATTACCATTTCCATTTTATTTTGATGATTTATATCGATTTTTACATGAATTTGAATTAATTGATCGTGAAATAGCCAGACAACATGATAATATAATTATTCAACGTCGTTTATATTGTAAAAAAGTCAATTTATTAACAAAGTCAATACCAAATTTACTATTATCAATGCAGACACATAATTATGAACTTTTATTACCATATATACTCGATTCATTTCGTCATCCAGTTTATGGTGTACAAATTATTTATGAATTATTTAATTCTACTGCATTAGTTCTTGGTCCAGATGAATGTCGAAAACATTTATTACCATTAATTCTTACATTATTAAATCCAGATAAATGTTCAGCATATCATTGGCGATTATTTTCAAAAAATTTTTTAATTCAACTAATATCTCGATTTGGTTTAAATCGTTTTTTAAATAATTTTACTGTTTTAATTATTGAAGCTTGTTCGGGTTTTAAAGATAGTTTTCAATTGATTGATAATGTTGAAGTTCCAAGTACAGATGTAGGTGGTGTACAGTGGAGTTTGGGAAATAATACTCAAGATGATTCAATTTCATTAAATAATGATAATATTAATGAATTTATTCGTCAAAGTCCAATAGAAATAGAAACAAATGACGTTGAGGTAACGTAGAAACAAACGAAAAAACATAGAAATATTTGTACACAACATTATTTTTTGAGATATAGTCACTGCACTCTAATCATGACAAATTAATAATGCAATTTTTATTTGTTTTTTTCTCATACTAATATCGAATTTAATGTTTTTAGAGCGTGGAAAATTTCATAGTGGATAATGATAATATTTCGAATAATTGTGAATTGGTAACAATATCTGAGACGGTTGTTGACAGCATTCATTATTTCATTTCAAAATTAGGACCAGTTTTAGCTTGTAAACAATTTGGACGTAATTTACTTCGAATGTTAACATTGTGTTATGTTGATAATGAACAATTGGAACAATTAACATCTTCTGGTAATCATATGACTAAAAAAAGCAATTTATATATTTCTTATGGATTAAAATTAATTTTGACTATTTTTTTTTTAGAAAATCCATTTATGAGTATAAGGCCAATAATTGGTGATTTAAATGCAATGAAAATTATTGAATGTTTAAAATTAATTGCACAATTATATGGTGAACAAGTGATTCTTTTATTCTATTTTCCATATTTAATTGAAACGGTTTGTATTAAAAATATATCATTAGATAAATATTTACACTTATTTTCCCTTTTTTATAGGTCAAATCAGCAACACAACGTTTAACTATTCGAACAGAAGCGGGTGTATTAGCAGCATTAGTTCTTTTGAAATCTGTTTTACCATTTCTGACCGATGCATCTTTAATGATTCATCTTTCGGTAAATATTATCAGTTATTTAATTACTAAATATCTCTGATATATTATTTTATTTAATTTGTAGGATTTAATCAAGTTACGTTTAATTCATCCAATTATTCAATTATTGTCATCTACTCATATTCATTTTCCAACATACGATCGTTCAAGGACCGTGTCTGTTTATCGTGTATTAGATGTTTTATTTTTATTAAGTCTACGACTTGGTTATGAAAATACAAGAATATCTTTGAATGATTCAATTCGTTTATTTTTTAACGCGTTCAATGTAGTTCATGATTACATGGAACATGTATTGGTCAATAATCATCTATCATCGAATACTCAGACAAATACATCATTAGGTAAAATATTCAAAAAAAAAAGTAGAAGAAATGAATAGATATTCAAAATTGAGCATATTGTTAAGTATGAGATCTTACTTAGTAAAATAAAAACTATTGTTTTTATTCTATTTTACTTATTATTTATTTCAAGGATCACAAAATGGTGATATGGAGATGAACAACAATATCAACAACCTAAACGTAAATGTCAACAGTACTGGAAGTGAAAGCGCTGAAGATGAATTTTGCCGTATTACAATTGATAGTTTAACTCATGATTATAAGGTATTATTTTCTTAATCGTTTTACTGTACTTGCCTGTATGCACTTTCAATTTTTTATTATAATTTAATTTCAAGATTGGCTCTCCTGTTAGACCTCATGGTTCAGTAGAGATAAATCAAAAGAAAGGACGAAGTCATAGTCATAGTTTATTAGCACCGCCACCTATCGAAGGTATTTATTTATTGTTGTTGTTTTTTCATATTTAACGAGAGCATTATGAAGCAGTATTTTTGTTTGTTTTTCTCTTTAAGATGATTCTCAAGTTCACCATCATACGAGTGAAACAATACAGGCTGAACTTCGTAAAACATTTACATCGGAATTAGCATGCATTGCTTATGTTCAGTTTTGTCGTTTATGTGGAGAGTAAGACAAAGAACTGATATAAAATGTACTTAACTATGTTGAATGTTTTGTTTTATTAAGTCATCATATGAATTCATTAGTATCCAGAAACGAGTTTATCAGTCGATCGTTATCAGACAATGAACGTGGCGTTTATTCAAATAGCATAACTTCGGTTGATGGTATAAAATTTATTTATATTCTATATAATTTTTAAACATTTTTTCATATTGATAGATGTTCAACAGCCTGCCTTTAATGAGTCAAGTTTTGCTAGTAGTGTACTTATTTCAATTAGAGATAATGATATAAAACAGTATGTCTATTTAACATGATATCACTTCATATGGCCGGAATGACCTCGTAAGAAGGGCAGAATTAAAACTTCAAAGTATAGAAATCGAATTACTCATATAAAAAAATGATTATCACAAAATAATGGTTAACCTGTGATGCAATTTTTATGTGAAAATTCATTACAAGTCGCGCTGTTATGGTCGTGTCACCTGGAAGTATTCCAAAATTAACATCTTCAAGCACTAAGCAAAATTTTGTGATAATCACTTTTTTATATGGTCAATCCGATTTCTATATTTTAAAGCTGTAATTCTACCCCTCTCACGATGTCATTCAGATCATATGTATTATGCTACATTAACATATTTATTTCACTTTCAATTCAGCACTCAACTTGATGAAACTCGTTTTCTTCGAAAAAATTGGTTAGCCTATTGGGAACATGAAGTTGGTAGAAGTGAAAAAGATTCAGCATTGAATTTTAAACAAATACATTTACAATCGTTTATTGGTAATTAAAAAAAAATGATGTATAGTTAATTCAAATAAAAACAATAAGTTAATTTTATTAAGGACACACAAATTGTGTACGAGCATTACATGTGTTGGACGATGAATCGACATTTATTAGTGGTGCAAGAGATCGTACAGTGAGAATATGGCAAGTAGAAAATCAAGGAGAAGGTTTTACAAAGTAAGGACTGTGCTAATATTAAAAATAAAATTCTCTCTTCATTTTCTTTTTTTTCCTATTCAAGAGTTGAACAACGATGGACATATACTGGACATAAAAAAACGATTTTCTCTGTTAAATTTCTCGATAGTTTACGATTAGTTGCTTCTTGTGATGGTTCCATACATGTATGTCATAAGTGTGAAATTGAACAAGTGAATAACAATACATCGTCTTTTTTTCTCTTATCAAAGGTATATGATCCCTTTCGTGCCGTTTCCCAACCACTTTGGCGTCATCAAAATACAAAAGAAAATCTTCCATTTTCCGCTATGACGTCAATGGGTGCACCTAGTACTTTTTTACTAGCAGCGACCGGTGATGTGTTAAGGTAAACAGATATTTATCGATATTTTTTTTATAATTGAACCTAATTTTTCTGCATTCTCTAGATTTCTAGATGTACGAACAAAAAATGCAGCCTATGAATGGAAATTAACACCCAGTCCTTTAGGTAATATTGATGTAGGTGAATCAAATGAGTTATTATGTACCATTTTTTTATTAGGACAAATTAAAACAATTGCAACTAATCCAAACAGTTATAGTGCACTCGTTGGTTTCTCAACTGGTACTGTATCGGTATTTGACGTACGATCAGGTATTATTCAAGGTACACTCAAGGTGCCTGAGGGGGAGATACTTAAAGTAAGCCTTTTGAGAATTACAATAATTTTTGAAGTATGATGAAATGTGAATTATTTAGGTAAACTTTTATAGTCGAAATAGATTTTATACAAGTTCTGCCGATGGATCAATCTATTTATGGAATACAAGAGAACTATCATCACCACAGCCTACATTGTTGAAATGTGAGTATTTTCGTTATGTAAATGTTGGACAAAACTAGTCTTATTCTCCTATTAGCACATGTTGATTCTGCACCGATGGTATCATCGACAAATAATGAAATAATAGTTGGCACGACTACAAATAAACTGTGTATCTACTCAAATTTGAAATCGACAGCACAGGTATGTTAAAATATTTTGAAAAAACTTTGTCTGTTAGATTTTGAAAGAAATATAATAAAACAATTCCGTTTAGGAATCAATCTCATTTTTTCCTGTTATTGTAAATTGTCAATTATCTTTATATTTTAATTTTTCTATTACAGATTGATTGTCAATCCAGTAAACTTCAGTCGGATAATTTCAAAGGTATAATGTCATCCATGGGTCTGTTTCCGCTTAATCGACTATTTTTATTTGGTTCCGATACGGGTAATATTGAATTGTTATGTTAACTAGTGCGATATGCAGTTTAGACCTTAGCTTCAATGTGATTTACATTCAATTTTGCAATATTTTTTCACTTTTTTCATTCTATTTTTTTTGCTTCAACTCTTCGTCTAAGTATAGATAATTTTATGGCGTCATTTTCCAATAGAGTATAAAACATTTTCTACATAAGTTTACAACAAAAACGTTTTTAACTTTTTCTTTCGTTTTTGTAATTATTTTTTATATATTTTTGCTAAGATTTTTTTGTGTATCGCATTTAAATAAATCTATTATTATATAATTACAAGACAACATTCGGATATTGTATCTGTATGCCACTTCTGCATTTTAAGAGAGAAATTCTTTAAATATCACTCTGCCAATTATTTGAAATCCACTTGATTACGGATAATTTTTTATACTGAGAACGAATGCGATATTCATTCATTCTCACACGACTTTTTAGAGTCTCTAATAGAATTTAAAATCTTCACAAATCTGTTATGAACAGATTCTGTTAGTGGCAGATTGTAAAACATATCAAGTTCTTTATGTGTGCAAGTTATTAGAATTACCGACCTATGAAATAATTCTGATACCTTAACGTGTGTTAGCAGGCGTTAAACAAAAGAAAAAAATTGAACGCGTGTGCACTAGTTAAATGTTGCTGAATGCGTTATTTTTCAAACTTATATGGGAGTACAGATTAATTCTAACACGCTTTTAAACGACGCATTTTTAACGCGCTTTTATAGAAATGTGAAAAGTACGTTTGAACTCGTTAATCACGAAAATTTTAAACTCTTATGCGTTACGTAAGCGGCTTAACGGGTTAGAACCGTGTTAAATGTTTCATATTCAGTGATTCTAACGAGCACGTGATAACGCTTCTCCTTGATCGTAAAGCGTGTAAACTCGTTAAAAATTGAAAGATGTACCTTTTTACATGCGTTTACACTCGTTAGAATAATACTTCGGATCAAAATGTAATTCTAACCCGTTAGACTGCATTTCTATTCCTTTCCAGTCGGACTTTTTGTTCTGTTAATGAATCCCAAGATTCATCTAGCAATAGTCTACTAGGTACTGTTCATCAGCACCATTATGACAGACTAGTCAGTCTCTTACATTTATATATAGTAAGGAGAGAAAATCTTAGAAAAATTTCTAAGTAAATTATGTAAATGTATCGTATATCTCATAGGAATAGTCATTGATTTATATAGCAATTGGTCATGCAAAACAAAACGGTGATTAGACAATCACGATTTGAACGCTTAGGCATTCCGATAAGTCATCGCTCAACAAGTTTTAATGAGTTAGAATAAATTTTTATTCAGAAATGTACATGTATTCTTTATTTTCAAACATGTTTCCACCGCATATCATCAACTTTTGGAAAACTCGCGCGTTCTAATTCGTTAAATCTAGTGGTTTAACATATTGGAACGAGTTACAGAAATGAAACGCGCTGAAACGGATCAATAGAATGGAATTAACGCGTTTTGAAGTGGTTAGATTTTAGTATATAACGGGTGGCGCATAAATAAACGCACTCCCGTATTTTGAATATAACTCCGCCGGCTTTTATCCTATCGATCCAAATCTTTTTCCAAAAGATTCCTTATTGAATTCTCTACAAAACCATGCCATAAC